GGTTGTATTTGAACTTATTTTGTTAAAATTTATAACTTTTATGAATTTTCAAATACTATACTTTTGTGGATCAATTATTGTTCATATATGTACTCTTTTTGAGTATTGTTTGATTCGTGCGTGTTTAAATCATATATATATTGTAGTAATTATTGTTAACAGGTAAATAGTTATATATATATATATATATATATATATGAGTTAAACAGGTAGATGTATACAAAACATGCACAGCACAACAGCCTGTGCATGTTTTGTAAAACCTGCAGCTTCACGGGAGTTCAACTCCCGTGAAGTTGCAGTCTAAATTTCCCAGAGAGCGATTCTCTGGGAATTTTGGCCTGTAACTCCATGGGAGTTGAACTCCCATGGAGATTTTAATACTTTAACAGACTTCACGAGAGTTGAACTCCCGTGAAGTTTGTTCAAGTTAAAAAACTTCACGGGAGTTCAACTCCCGTGAATTTTTTGAAGAAATTAATCTTCACGGGAGTTGAACTCCCGTGAAGTTTAAAAATATGCTAAACTTCAGAGGAGTTCAACTCCCGTGAAGTTTTGTAAAAAAAATTTCAGAAACCGACCTGGTTTCAGCGACAGGACTGAAACCAGGTCGGTTTTTAAAATTAACTTCGAAAGAGGTCGTTTTTTTGCAAATAAAAGTCCAAATAGGACTGTTTCGAAAATTTGTCCAAAGGGAAAATTGCACCGGAGATGGGGGAAACGTGGGAGAACGTGGGCTGGTTATTCATTTAATTTTTTTTCATTGTTTATAATGCTAGGTTACCGTTCATATTAGTTGTTTTGTTGTTCTCCTTAGTAATTAGTAATAAAGAAGTAGATATTTAATTATAGACAACATTTTTAGTGAAAATAAGTTATTTATTGTTCACATAATTATTTAATTATATTTGATTTGATAGTTCATTTAGTAATAGTAAATATATAGTTTTGTAAATAGTTCTATATTTGATTTGTGTGATTATTAACTACTTATTTAAATTTTATAATTAGTCTTATAAATTTAATTCATCTCAAATTTCATCCACCTCAAATTTTTAGGATTTGTTTTTCAACCTCCTATCTAGTAATAAATTAATTAAATTTAAATCTTGCTATATTAATCTAATCTAATCTAATACTATTATAAAAGTACGTTGCCATGTTAAAATATATTTTTCTGAAAATATCCTCCGAGGCATGCTAAAACACATACATGTATACATAAAAATACCCTCCAAGGCATGCTAAAACACATACAAATACCCGCGGGTGGGACTCTCGGTCAGCAGCACCATGGGGGAGGATTCGCTCCCTAGGCCTTCCTGCCCTGTTGGTTGGGAGTTCGAATCTCCGTAGCCGCATTCACCTGGTCTCCTTTGGTTTAAGGGTGTGGATGGAGACCCGGGGTTTTACCCTGTTGGTAGGCCAGCATGGTAGATTGTGGTCCGGTTGGGTCGTCTTGGTCCACACACTGCTCGCCCTGTGTAAGTGGGTCACGCTGGTCCTGGCACGTGGGGATGAGCCCCCTAAGAATAATTGGGCGAAGCTCCTTGCAGTTGTGGGGGGATCGGGGGGACTCGATCTGTGGTCTCCGTCAGACCCAAAAGTGGGGCGCTGGAGTGCTAATCGGGGTCCCCTCGTTACAAAAAAAATACATATATGAATACAGAAAACACATACATACATATTTAAGTGAACAATAAATGACTTATTTTCACTACAAATGTTGTCTATAATTAAATATATTGGTATAAAACCAAAATTCATATACAAAGTGTGTTTACTGGAGTTAAAATGAAAATGTCATATAAATTTGAAAACTATCTATAGAAATTATTTAAGGGTATATCATACTCCCTTTAAAAGAGGGAGTTGTGGAAAAATTTTCTATGGACTATATTACCCCTATTCTTTTTTGATATTACATTCTAATCCTAACTAAACTAAATTAATTATTATTATTATTAATTATATTATATACCACTTCAAGTTTGTCTAACTTAGTCCCTAAAACTTTCAAAGTTATTTTAAAACTCTACATCATATTAACTATTACTAATGTATAATAATATATTAATATGAAAATTGCATGTAATAAATTATTTATGGAAAGAATAAAAAACATAGAATTGTTCTAAATTATACCCTGACACTCATATAGGAAAATTATAAAAGCTTTCTATGGACTATATTACCCCTATTCTTTTTTAATATTACATTCTAATCCTAACTAAAACTAAATTAATTATTATTAATTAATTAATTATATTATATGCCACTTCGAGTTTGTCTAACTTGGTCCCTAAAACTTCTAATATTATTATAAAATTCTACATCATATTAATTATTACTAATGTATAATAATATATTAATAGGCAAATTTCATGTTAATAAATTATTTATGGAAAGAGTAGAAAACATAGAATTGTTCTAAATTTGTAACATGACAATCATATAGGAAAAATTACAAAGAGTATTCTTGCGTTTAGGTAACAGGACGGAAGATACAAACATGTAATTTTAGAAAATATTAGGATGTTTAAGTGCAGCAAGATACAAGTGGAGGTGTTCAACTTTCGTACTATAAATTAATTACAAGTTTGTCTAACTTGGTCCCTAAACCTTTCAATACTACTGTAAAACTCTACATCATATTAATTATCACTAATGTATAATAATATATTAATAGACAATTGCATTTTAATAAATTATTTATGGAAAGAATAGAAACATAGAATTATCCTAGAATTATACCATGACACTCGTATAGGAAAATTATAAAGAGTATTCTTGCGTCTAGGCAACATGATAAAAGGTACAAACATGCAATTTTAGAAAATATTAGGATATTTAAGTGCAACAGGATACAAGTGGCGGTATATAACTTTCATAAACTATAAGGTATTTAAGTTCAATTAAGTCTATAAAGATTTAAAATCTTTGTTAACCACAAATAATTGTATGTGATCCTATTGATAAATAATATTCATCATATAATACGAGGCCAAATGCTTAGCTTATATTTATGTAGTAGATGAGGTGTGGAAAAATTAAAGCATCATATTTTAAATAATCCCGAGATTTTGAATTATTTCCAGAAATTATATATATTGCTTAGAAAACTTTGGAAGAGGCTTTCGAAGGACTACTACAAAGTATTGAACATCAGATAAATATTGGATAACTAAAATCTAGAATATCATATTGCAGAAATCATGGATATGTAAAAGATATCGGGTGTCATATGAGATAATATTCATATATAATATAGCATTGTAAGCTATAATCTAACATATTAATAAATTTTAAATATAAGAATTTGCATGAAAATATATGCTTAAAATGTGGGAGGGCTGAGAGTGGAGAGATTTGGGAGACGAATTGTGACTTTTGTGGCTTTCGTGGGTTTCGCTTTTGGTTCCCAAACATGACCCAAACCCTAGCCCATACTCAAATTAAAAATGACTCGATTTTGTTGATATCTTCAAAGGGATGTAGTACATCAATCTATGAACTGATTTGGGTTATGTATCCTAAAATTTATCTTATACATCAACTCTGAAAATCTTTTGCTACAAGAATCTCCAAGAGAAATTTAATATTTATTTGTGAAGGGTATGTGATCCTTCCGATTCACCTTGTCTTTCATGATTTGTAATGAAGTATTTGACAAAATAAATTAAATTGTTCATTTTTATAGTTCTCACATTCTTATAAGTTTATGAAGCACGTAGCTTGGGTATGAGTATTGTTACGGATAATGGATTCTTATAACTCTCAACCTAAATTTTTTAATGTTGTTTGATATTGGATAGATCTGAATTATGTCTTAAAATACAATCCATAGTGCATAATATTTATAAATCATTCTCATGTTATATTTTATAATTTTCTGAAACTAGAGAGTAATCGTTTTGATAAATCGATTAATTAGTTGGGAAGATTTTCTACATATCAGATTTTGAAATTGATCATATAATTTATGTTTTATTTATTGATTGAATTTGCACATTCTGACGAAGAAAATTATAGAAAAAAGTTTTTGAATATCTATAATACTTGGTCGCCAGATAAATAACAGGTGAAAGTAAACAACACGTGAAAGTGATTTATTTATAGTTAAACAAAATCCTATATGACCAAATAAAACCTACCATTTTACTTTGAGGAATTCAATCATTAATAATAATAGTTTTTTATATTGATCCCTTACATCATTAATATTTTGAAATTAGATCTTCAAAGCATTAAATTGCTCTTAAGTCATTAATATTTTAAGACTTTTTTCTGTGGAAGGCAAAATGTTAAAACCAACAAGATATTACACACGGAAATATCCAGAAATTTTTAATATTTTATGATAATCATAATTTTTTTTATAAACATGTTATAGTAAATAAATAAACTTAAAATAAATAATTTAGATATTTGACCACGTGCACTGACCACGTGCAGTGCACGTGTATTTCACCTAGTATGCTAAAAACACTAGGACGCGGCAACTGTCTCCAGCCGGTGAAGGAACAAAGACTTACCTGTAAAAAAATTGCCCCCTTATCAGTTTCTTCATCATTTGTGCCCAACCTGTTCGTAGATCCCCAGAAAAATTTCTTTTCTTTGATTTTAATTCCTCTTGGAGCACAAAATCACAGATTTAGGAAGAATTAATTAGAGGTAATAGTCCTTCATCGATTTGTTGTTGAATTGGATCCATCGCCTTTTTTTTCCTAATTACTTATTTGATTCTTGGATTCGATATTATGAAATTCGAACTTTTGGGGCACTGATCTTGACTATTGAGGAGATTTTATTGAAATCGTAGTTGATATGAAATTAGGGTTGGATATTGTCTTCGAGCTCGCCTGCGCCACGCACGTTCGACCTCGCCTGTAGGGCCTCGCCCTCGCCTGTGTCGACTCGCCAGAAGCTCGTCGCCTCGCCTGCGCCGTCGACTGGGCCTCGCCTGAAGTCGCTCAAGCTCGCCGAGGTTTGGATCTACACCCTGTTTCCAACAATCACTTCAGCTTAGGAGCAAGGATTTGAATTTCACGGTTAGTTGAGCTTCTTATGATTGGAAGTTAGTTATGAGTTAGAGAGAGAACCTCAATATCAGGATCTTTCTTCGATTATTAGAAATTTTTGAAAGAGGAGAAAAACGATGATGTCTTGATTTTTATGTATGATTATTTTTTGTTATTCCAGTTTAATCCTGATTCAATTTAGTTACTGACTGCTTGTGTGCTCCATAATCTGTTCATGCTGCATATTTCACTGTTGCAAGGATTTATAATGATAATTAATTCATCAATCATCAAATACTGGGTCGTTCTTACTTTTCCCCTTCCCATTTCTTGGTATTTGTAGCTTAGTTGCATTTTTATTTTGTTCAACAGATTTTCATGGCTTACATTTAGTACCTTGTAAAACTTCAATGCCATATTCTAGCTATATTTATTTAACTTCCTTTTAAAGTTGAGCCTTCAATCGTTAGAAGTGCTTGAATCATGCTGATTTTATCTCTACGTTATTCAATCCTGTATACGATCATCAACCCCGGGTGGTTTTCTAGAGATCACATTACTATGTCTATGTGTAACAGTGTAAGTGTGTAACTGAGTACAGGATACATAATTGTTATGCTTAATGGTTGGAAAGCTTTTAATTTCTGGACTTGTGTTTTATTTATGTTATCTGTGATTTTAGCTCTTGTACTATATAAATTTAAATCTTTTGATTAGTTTAGGTCTTCTCTGAAATGGCCGACGATGAGAAAGAGGAAGAGGTCATTCCACCTCGTGGAGTTGACTGGGAGGTTGTATCTCTTACAGCATCAGCATATGCTGCTGCTCCCTACCCAAAGGATTTTGACCCAAATGACGAAGTTGGAAGCAAGCAGGAGTCTTCTAGTCCAATGTTCATGTCTGGCCACTTTGTTTTTCCACCAAGCGAGCATGAAAATCTTCCAATAGAACCCGAGATACAAAACATATCTGAGGGTGATACTGTAATTTCTGCTGAGGAGGAAGGCGAGGATGACAAACAGAATATGCTTGATGACGACTCACAAGGGCCCAAACATTTTGACGATGGAACTGCTGTTTCTGCTCGCAGTTTGGAGTTTGAAGAGGTAAAAGAGTTGCTAAGCATGGAGACTGCAAATCCTGGCGACTCTCCTAATCAGGACCTTAACTCCCCTCGTAAATTTGAAAAGTTAAGTGATGCTGACAGTTATGATGCCTCTGGTCATCCTTGTTGGGCATGGTGGAAGAAAAATGCATCATCATTATATCACCATGCAAAGGAAGCTAACACATTCTGGTCTATCTTTGTGGCTGCTGCTCTGACAGGACTTGTCATTTTGGGGAAGCGGTGGCACCGAGATAAATGCCACGCTCAGGAACTTAGGCATCACCTTAACATCAACAATGAGGTAAATTGAACTTCCTTCTGAGTATCTGTCAAGGATGATCCTGATAGTCTTTTTATATATGTTAATTTCACCTTTGTCTGTCTTTCAACTAAGCATGCAGTTCAACTGTAATAATTTGCATTCACTCTGTATAAGTTTCCTCAAATATTATATGTAGTTCAACTTTAGTAATTTGCGTCCACTTTGAATAAGCTTCTTCTAATGTTGTGTAAAAATGGCCAGCATATAGGCTAAACCAATTTTGACCCTGCCAATAAAAATGTGTTATTTGCAACAAAAAGTAGGCCTGTAAGCTTATACTCATGTTCCTGTGTTACCACTTACCACTATTTTGGATGAGTCAAGGATATGGAGACCTGGGTGCAGGAAAAGTCTCAGTATCCGAAGAAACCACAGGAATCATCATTATCAAAGTAACTTCTTAAATTAAGTAAACCAGATGTTAATGGTTGCACAACTGATCTGAAGTGGCAAGTCTTTGAACTACATATTTAAGGCTATTAACGGCATAAAAGTCCCATTTTTTTAAAGATTAAACCACCAGAGATGGCTTTGACAATTTATAGATGGCTTTGACAATTCAGAGAATTGGCAACTGT